TTTTTCTCTTGGATATTCATCTATGTAAAAGACAAAGTTTTTTTTTTGTTGCAAAAGAATACTTTTGCCTACTATCAGAATAAATTGTATTTGAATATGGTGAACTTCGTTCACTATTTATTGGATAATATTCATTTGTTTCATTAATAAAAAATGGTGATTGTGAAAGATTTTCTGGTTTACGAAATACTGTTTGTATAGTTACTTGATATTCATTTTCATGTACAGTTGCATGAATCATATTACCCATACGTGGTTTACCTAAAAAAAATAATTAAATAATATATAAACTTTTTTAGTAATGTATAAGATATATATAGAGAGAATTTATATTTTAGATAATAGTTATTATTCATTATAGCAAAATAAAAGTATTAGTTTGTTTAAATATTAAAGATCTTACCAATCAATGATTGAAAATCTGGTCGATTAACTGCATAAGTTTTTAAATGAGCACAAATATGATCTAATTGTTGTCGCCAATATCCTTTTCCTGGACTTGTAGATGTTAATATTGGACGATATTCTTTTAATTCTTTTTCATTTAATAATTTTTTATTTTGTGTTATAATTAAATCAATATCTTTTGCACTTGGATAATAAATTCTATATGTTTGTGTTGCAACTTCTTTTTTAATTGCTGAATATGATTGATGATAATTAGTCAATGTTGTATTTGCATTAAGCCATACAGGATTAACTGAATTACGTGTTAATGTCTATAGAAAACAAGAATCTTTTTTTTTGTTTTCTTTTTTTATTCTTTAATTTTAATATACACTAGCAATCATTGATGAAGATGAAATATTCAAATCTTTTTAAAGACGTGTATCAATAATACGTAATGGTGGTTCAATAACACATCCACATGTTGAACAAAATTTTCCAAATGAATCATTATTAGTATGACATTTTGTACATTGTATTGATGTAGATGCATGATCAGGATATGCACTACACCAATCACAAAAACGAGCATTAGGATTATTTAAACGAAAACATTTTGAACATGTTATCATCATTGTATTTGTTTGTTTTGATATTGTTGGAATTGAAATTGAAGTTCATTTTTCCTATTGAAATATAAATACAAAAAAAAATAAATAAGATTTTTTTTTTGTTTACTGGTGATGTCGATGTTGGTATTAATACATTTTCACAAATATAACATGTTCGTAAATGTATTGAATTTGTTGATTTACAATGAGGACATAGAATTCTTGTCTAGAGAGGAACATTAAAGTTTGATTAATTTTTGTGAAACCTGATTTTGAGAAGTTGGTCGCTGTTGTGTTTCTTTGGATACTGGTGTTTCACATACAACACATGTGTTAGAATTAAATGGAATAGTAGATTTACAATTTGTACATATATTAGTCTAATTAAAGAAAAATTATCCGTGTAAAATAAGATAACTACTATTCATTTGTAAAGTAATCAATACTGTTATGTAGAACAATACATGATCCGTCGAAGGATATACTCTTTATCAAATTTTACAGTTCTGAGAAGTCATATACCCCCCCCCCCCCTCCCAATTAAGGAAATATAACCGATTTTCTAATGTTTTTTTTGCGAAATCCTTCCTTTCCTATCATAATTAGTACAGTTTTTACAAAAAATGGTAGTTTTTTCAGCAAAAACCAATAATTAAAGTTATTAATGAATTATTCATTTTTTAAATGATTTTAATTAAAAACTGACCAAAAGTTGACCCCCAATAGAAGGCCATCCAAAAAGTAGCAATGTGCCAAGACACTGTATAAGGGCGTGCCCTTTTATTTTTTTTTGGAGGGGGGAGTTACTAGTTAACAGGTACTATAGCAATGATGAGTGTTGTTAGATGCGGCTGTCGAAGACAAAGGCAACCAACCATGCAACTTTTTCCGAGTTCTATAAGTATGATTCCTGAGAATAGAAAAATATATGAGCTTTCTTGTTGTTTTTAGGCTTCAGAACATCGAATGTGATTCGGATATGTAGTTCTATCACATTCAACATATGTTCGGGTTTCTTATAAGAATTAATAGTTTTACCAAGATTCTGAAGGAGAAAAACGTTTTTTTACTGTTTTTGAAAGACTCATATATATATGTCAGATATAGGTTATTTTTGAGATCATATTACTCATCATTGCTCTTATATATCTTAACTGGTATAATGACTTTTATGATAAAATAATTTCATAAATAACTATGAGTTGTTCAACAGAATGGGATTAGGTAGTTTCTTTTTTTCAAATGAAAGGTAGTCATCATATCCGATAGAGTTATTTTGAATTACTAAATAATTATCCGGTGGATTATGAGTTAGTTTTTGCCAAGATAGACCACATTCCGTACAAAATCGTGTATATAAATCATTTGATTTAGGTGCAAAACAATGTGCACATCTAGAAACGAAAAAACAAAGCTCAAATAATAAAATAATTTTGTTCCGATAAACCTTAAAACATTTGTTTGTATTTGAGAATTTGAATATGTATAATTAGTTGGATTTTCTTGTACTAATGAATCAATTGTTGAACGACGCATTGATTCTATATAGAAATTTGATTAATAATAAATAAAATTACTGTTTTTTTTTTTGATACCAGATAATTTTTGTTGCATTTGTTCATTTTCATTTTTGCATCTTTCTCAGAGTCTATGGGCTTTTTTATTTCAAACTGAATTCTAAAATCAAA